AATATAAACATCCATGGTTGTAACATATGAGATTGACTTAAGTGATAAATAAATTTTTAACCATAAAAAAACTTCAAGAGATATTTGATAGAAAATCTAAACTTTCAATATTTTAGGGATAAATTATAATTTTTATAAAAAATCGAGGTTAATTTCGTTAATATATTAAATTGTATTTTAGAATTTCTTCTCTCCCTTCTCCTTTCCTAAAAAAAACTTGATAACAAAAAATCACTCGAGTGATTCTGATCCTCTTCCCTCCTCTTCTAAAATATTGAACCAAACATTTTTTATTTAAAATATTACCTCTCCTCTCCAAAAATCCCACACGAACTATACAAGTTTTATCTATAATTATTCTCTTACATGTAGCAATAAAAGAAAGTACAAGTATAATTTATAAGGATGTCAATTTGTATCTGTTAACGAGTATTCTCATTGAGATTATCTAGTCGGAGTTTTGAAGTCGGAGATTTTTTTTCTCGTGGGGACGGGAAGGAGGGAAAATTTCCTTCGATAACACTTCGGGGCGGGGATCGGGGAAGTACCCTCCGCCCCGCAAATTTCTCGATCCTGATTATATAATATAATATATGATCATTGGCTTAAATAGTTTTGTGGTCCTTGTAAGTTAGTGAGTTTTTGTGTTTAGTCCATAAATCTTTTTTTTCCAGGCCTGAGACCTTATATCTCATGTTTTTGTTGACTTTCGTCTCTGACGTTAGTAGTATGTAAAATAAACAATGAGTTGACTAACGTCGCTGACGTGGAATGATATTTTTCTTTTCTTTAATATTTTGTAGACGTGAAATCAATGCTTTGGAAGGCATTTAAAAGATGATTAAATCCAAAAAAAAATTACCATTTACATCATCTTCTTCCTCTTCAAATATTTTTCTGCACTTTTTCTTCTCTTCTCTATAAGAGGTGCTGCATTTTTCTTCTCTATAACATGGCAAAGTCATTTGTAGGTAATATCCCTGAGTCTCAAATCTCAGTTTATGGTTGCAATAGAGCAATGCGGATGTTCATCTCAAATTCAAGTGAAAACCCTGAATGAAGATTATGGAAATATGCAAATTCTGGTGTAATGTTAAGTTGCAAGCTATTTTTGTGGGATGATGAACTTGAGCGCAACATATCAACTGAGCCAAAAGTTTCAATTGGTTGCAATTGCTCATAAGTTGTGCAGGAATTAGGTTGCATCATCAAAGACATTGAAGATAGGAAAAAAGAGAAGATGAAATTGAAATTAAAAAAATGAAAGGAAGAAGGTCAGTTTGTTTAGGGTGTTGTTGATTTTGTCATGGGTCTTGTTCCTTACTTACCAGAAATGGTAGTGAGTTCCATGTTAATGGCGTCTGTAATTTTTTTAATGTTTTAGTCCCTATAAGATGGTTATTTGTTGAATTTCATCCTTGTATTAGTTATCAGTTAAGAATTTCGTCCTTGAATCGTTTTGCCATTTTGCATTTCGTCCCTATTTCATATTGTGTTGTTTGTATGTCATCCCTTAATCTTAATGAAATGTTCTTATTTAATTCTTATTTCTTACTTATGTTAGTGGGTTGTATTTGTAGTTTGCCTAATTCTTTAGTACATAAAGGCAAAAACAAAATATAATGCTAAAAGGTAGGTTCTTATCCATTCACACATAGTTAGGATAAGTCATCTCTGGAAACTAATATAGTGCTATTAAATGCCTCATAAATATTATTCATAAGTACGTCACATTTGGGATAAAAAGAAAAGACGTGCTTACACCATGTCTTTGTAGGTATTTTTGACAGCCACTCCCAAACTTTCAGATTAATCACCTTCAATTCTTTCATTTTAGCATCCCAAGCTTGAATATATGTGGCTTTTGTAGCTGCCATCATTAAGTCTTTAATTTGTGTCCCTCCACCAAACTTCTTTTTGAAATTGGCATACAAATGCCTAAGACAAAGTATATGCTCTAGCCTCTCAAACATTTCTTCAAACACAGGTATCAAACCCTGCAAACCGATTTCAAACAAATAACCATAATTTAAGGATGAAATACAAAAAACAAGAAAAGAAATAGGGATGAAATAAAAAAAAAAAGAAAAAAAGAAATAGGGATGACATTAAAAAAATCAGAAAAGAAATAGAGATGAAATCCAAAAAACTAGAAAAGAAATAGAGATGAAATCCAAAAATCCAGAAAAGAAATAGGGATGAAATAAAAAAAAACAGAAAAGAATTAGGGATGCAAAATACCTTTTGTATGTCAGGAAAAAAACCCCATCTTCTTTCTTAATCTATGTCTTCCAAAAGCAATGTAAGAAACCACCTTCATGACTCTTTTGTTTCAGTTTCACATACACCAAAAGCTAGGGGATAGTATTGATCATTTGGATCTCTACCAACTGCAATTTGAAGAGTCTCTCCATACCTAGTCTTGAGATGACATCCATCAACCTCAATGAAAGGTTTGTAAGATGTTGTGAAGCCCTTCTTAAGCCCGTCAAAGAAATAGTAGAAAGATGCAAATCTTGGTTGAATTGTTGGTGTAATCCTTGTCAAATTGATTTTACAAGTGTTCCTTGAATTGACTCTCATTAACTCTACAAAATACCTCCATAAAAGGTTGTATTGCTTCACTACATCACCCTCAATTATAGCCTTTGCTATTTGTTTGGCCTTCCATGCTCTGTTCATAGTTATCCCACTAGAAAAGTTACTCCTAATCTAACATAATTGATATTTATCTCATCACCTTGGATACTTTGGATATTTTTGTTCTTTCTCATCACCAGAAACATCAGGGCCACTACTACCAAGCTCATCACTAACATAATTGATATTCATCTCATTGTCCATACCAATAAATGAAGCTATATTTTCAACACCATTTAGAATTTTCTTTTGAGTATCTCTGTGCTTTCTTGCTGCAACTTTGACCATTTTCTTTGGAGTATCTTGTTTTTCATTAACATCAAAGCAATCATCCAACCCAAGCGCACTCTCATCTTCACTATCATCAAATAATAAACCATTAAATTCAAAGTCATTATCTTCACTATCATCATTATCCTCATTTTTATCTATATGAACATCATCTACTTCATTTACTTCATTAGCTTGAACACCACTAACACCATCAACATCATTACCTTGAACATCATCAACTTCATTTGCTTCATTAACTTGAACATCACCAACATCACTAGCTTCATTACCTAGAACATCATTAACTTTATTAACTTGAACACCAACAACATCATTAACTTGAACACCACCAACATCATTAATTGAACCCACGTGTTACCTTTAGGATCAACATATAAGTGCATTGCAGTTTTCATTCTCATGGCATACCGATACACCTAATCAACATCAGTAACCATTGTATTATATTTGTCTCTCTCATTGTTATACCACCATAGCATATATTGTGAATGCTTAAGCTGAGTAATGTCTTTCACTATACCAGTTGCCTCAAATAAGCTCCATCTATCAGTATCAATATCTACTAAATGCTCATAACCCCTGTGTAGTATACTACATAGTCCCTTTAAAAACGACCCCCGTAATGAAATATCAAATTGAAACTCACCACTTTCAACAAACAAAATAGAGAACAAAGATAAATGCAACGAACAGGGTAAGAACAAAACAGACTGAAAGATAAATCCTAAATACCATATATATGATATTGTCAACCGGAACGACGCAGTCGTCGTATCATGGTTGTCGTCTCACATTCGCCTCCGCCGTTCTCCAATAATCACCACACTTCTCCTCCCAAATATGAAAAACCTTAATTTACAGAGAATGATGCCAAAAATCATTTTCTGAATATTTTGTTGATTTTGGTGTTAACATAAGTCATTGGCCATGTCTGCAAAATATTGAAGAAAAGAAAAATAAAATGTCATTCCACGTCAGCAGCGTTAGCCAATTCAACATTTTTTTAACAGACTATTAACGTCAGAGACGAAAATCAACACAAACATGAGATATAAGGATTCAAACCTGAAAAAAGATTTAGGGACTAAATGCAAAAACTCGCTAACTTACCTGAACCAAAACACTATTTAAGCCTATATAATTATATAATTTTTCATTTTTTTAAATAAAAAATAATTAATATATTAGGAAATTAAAAGTCATTAGTGGATAATTTTATTTTTTGTCTCATTGTATAATGTATTGTTTCACAATCCAAGTATATAACAATAAAAAATGCACTCATTACACACGGTGTATACGCCATCTCTTCTTTTTCTCTCAATTTTCTTTGCCTCTTCTATTCCTCATCTGGTATGTTCTCATCATTATCATAACAACCACTCACTTGTTCATTGTGATTATGCTAATTACTCTTCAACTTTACTATATTTTAGTTAGTACTTGTTTTTTATTCAATTAGTAAATTAGTGATTATGTTATCGTAAATGAAAGTGCTTTTGTACTTTTTTTTTAATGATAAAAGATGTGTTTTTATTTTTTTTAAAAAGAAAGATACAAAATATATGTTTAAAAAATAATAATAATAACAAAATTTGTTTTGATTAAAAATATCGAAATTTTTTTAAGATTCGATCTACGATTCTCTTTAAAAATTTGTAAAGTGTGGATGAAAAAAATTATTATTCCATGATAAAAATTAAGGACGAATATCAACGCATTTTCTACCACGTTAACATCCATAATAACCCACACCAAAGTTTTATAAAATTTTCGCAATTTCAATTTATAAAATGTCACGACACTGATTTCAATTGTGGCAGTGTTGATTAAAAACAATTTATTCTTAAATATAATAACGTGGAATAACATTATCAATATTGTTTTATTACTGTTAAAATCCGTTACACACCACAAACCTCACCTCAAACTGAAAAAAGAAAAGTTAGAATGAACCAGACAACTTCCATTATCCACCACAGAAAGTGGGGGTGCAGATAAAGCAATTAGTCACTGACACTTATGTTAGCAGCTTCACTGTTTCCCAACCAAGTACCACAAAAACAATGTTACCTCATTGTTCTGCCCTTTCTCAATCACCACCACCTTCAATATCCAAATTTCTCTCTGACCATCCATGTCTCACCATGCTTCAAAACCCCTCCACCACCATCAAAGACTTCCACCAAATATACCCCCACATCATCAAAACCGGCATTACTCATAACTCAATTGCTTCCACACGTGTCCTCTCCTTCTGTGCCTCTCCATCTGGCAACATTAACTATGCCTACAAACTGTTCATCAGAATGCCAAACCCAAATCTTTATTCTTGGAACACCATTATAAGAGCCTTTTCAAGAAGCTCAACTCCACAATTTGCTATATCACTTTTTGTTGACATGTTGTATTCTGAAATTCAGCCTCAACATTTGACTTACCCTTCTGTTTTCAAAGCTTATGCTCAATTGGGTGATGCTCATCATGGATCTCAGCTTCATGGTATGGTTGTGAAATTGGGTCTTCAGAAAGACCAATTTATTCGTAATACTATCATTCACATGTATGCTAATAGTGGACTTTTGGGTGAAGCTAAAAGAGTTTTTGATGAAAGAATTGAACTTGATGATGTTGTGGCTTTCAATTCGATGATTATGGGTTATGCTAAGTGTGGTGAGATTGATGAATCTAGGAAGCTTTTTGATAATATGTCTATAAGAAGAACTTCAGTTACTTGGAATTCTATGATTAGTGGATATGTTAGGAATGGGAAACTGATTGAGGCGTTGGAACTTTTCTATAACATGCAAGAGGAGGGGATTGAACCAAGTGAGTTTACAATGGTTAGCTTGTTAAATGCTTGTGCTCACTTGGGAGCACTTCAACATGGGAAATGGGTTCATGATTATATAAAACGGAATTATTTTGAGTTGAATGTTATTGTAGTTACAGCAATAATTGACATGTACTGCAAGTGTGGCTCTATTGATAATGCTATTGAAGTGTTTGAGAAATGCCATAGAAGAGGGTTATCATGTTGGAACTCTATTATAATTGGGCTAGCCATGAATGGTTGTGAAAGAGAAGCGATTGAGTTGTTCTCTAAGCTTGAATCTTCAAAGTTATTGAAGCCGGATTCAGTAAGTTTCATTGGTGTTTTAACTGCTTGTAAACATTTAGGAGCAGTTGACAAAGGAAAAGACTATTTTGAATTGATGATGAATAGTTATAAAATTGAACCATCGATAAAACACTACACTTGCATGGTTGATGTGCTAGGTCAAGCCGGACTCCTAGAAGAAGCAGAGGAACTTATAAACGCTATGCCTATAGAACCAGATGCCATTATATGGGGGTCTTTGCTCTCGTCTTGTAGGAAGCATGAGAATGTACAGATTGCAAAACGGGCTGCTCAAAGAGTTTACGAGTTAAATCCAAATGATGCGAGTGGTTATGTACTCATGTCTAATGTTCATGCTGCATCGAACAAATTCGAAGAGGCAATGGAGCAAAGGCTTTTGATGAAGGAAAACTCAACAGAGAAAGAACCAGGTTGCAGTTCAATTGAATTATATGGAGAAGTTCATGAGTTTCTAGCTGGGGGAAGGCTGCATCATAAGACCCGAGAGATCTACCACTTATTAAATGACCCCAGTTTTGCATTTCAAGATTGATTATCGGTGAGATTATGAAACATCAATCTGTAAATAGAAGTAATATCTATAGTATAGAGAAGATTTATAATAGATTAGAATCACACAACCTAAACCCCGAATTCACATGTTAATACAGTTACTTATAAGCATTTGGATTTGATGTCATTCTCTATATTCTCTATGATGACTGAAAAAAATAATTCCATTTCATTATTGACTTACCGATCAAGTATGTTTTCCTGAAATATTCTAGTCATTTTGGAAATATACTTTGAAGACAAGTTGCGAAAACTTGAATGTAGGTTTTGCTTACTTATAAATGATGTTTTATATTTTACTCATTTCTCTATAATATGGATGCTTAACAAATGGCCTAGTGAGAAGGAATGTCTGACTCTGTGCTGCATGCATGTTTTGTTTTGACTTTCTAACACCAAATACTGCATATATGATATCCAATCTAACTAAAAAATAGACCATTAAGATTTTTCAAATCATAGCACTTATTAATTTGTTAAATCAATTGATAATAGTAATACAACAGAATAAGCACATGATCTTGTTTAGCAATGTCAACCTGCTTATACCCTTGCTTGTACAAGAATATGGTGACATTATAGCTATCCTAAGTTTCAGGTTTTTGACAAGTTTCGTCCTGGCGCCCAAGAGTATATCTCAGGAGGCATTGCACCATTCATGAGGAGGTTCTGCGGCATTGCATATAAGTCAGAGATATCAAGATGATGCTGTGTGCGCCCATTTTGGTAATGCTGGTTCTGCATTGCAGCAGCAAGTTCATCGTCTTCCAGCGGCAGACGATCGAAAGTAGCATGCATGAACGATGCAGCCATGATGACAACAGGTCCTGAAGCAATCAAAGCACCGACTACAGCACCTCCAACAACTTGTCCTTGAGCACCTGCTAAATAAATCGTCAAGCCAGTGATTCCTGGCGGTGCTGGTGGGGGAAGAATCGACCCCAACAACGAGAGAATCTCAAATCGACCATGAAGGGTTACAATGGCACCAGAAGAAGCTGGTTGGCGCAGTGTTACATTCGTTACACAACCAGTGCCATTAAGTATACAAAGACCGCGTTGCTTTCTCCTCGCAAAGTTCAACAAGCTCTCGTTCACATCACACCCGGAACTCACTTCCATAGCATGAGCTTTCAGTGCATTAGCACTATCTCTCGTGACAATAATGGGTGGCTTTGGCTTGTTTTTCGATCCAGCCGGCCGACCACGAGGTCGCTTTAACATTTCCCCTTCTGCTGCAGAAGAAACTGGTGAAACCGATTTCGGAACTTTAGGAGATATAAGACTAACATCAATACCATTACCAGACATATTATTCTGGTTACCACTGTCCTGTTCTTGCTTGTGTTCCATTTCACCAAACATAAGATAGTTTTTGGAATAAAAGAGTAGTAACAAAGAGTAAATCGATCTTTCCTGTTACAATATTGAAGGTTTAAGTAGTTGCATTATGAGAATAAATATTATAGGAGCAGAAAAGAATGATCACAATTTTAGGATGAAGTTAAGTTATACCAACTACACCATAAATTGCAGTTTTTTGCATTATTCTTCCTAACTCCTACTAACTTTGCCTCATATCAATTGCCTTCCCCAGCAGATATCTCATGGTAAAATAATTATTACTATTTCCATTCCATTGTTAGCTACATACCTACCTACACTGTCTTCACCATACTATATAGATACAAGTTTCAACTTCCAGTTTCTCAATGGCATGAACTGAGGACCCTGTTCCACACATAGCCTTTAACTTTTAATTCATAGTTCCATTTCTCTGTTTAACACTTATCAAAGGTGGGAACACTTAATGGATATGATTATAAGTGTTACATCAGATATCTTAACTCTATAAGATCAGAAAGTACTAAATGTGAGGTTTTAAATTTGGATGCAATTAACACGAATTCCATGTAGTCAAATGAAACCTGCAGTCACACTGTCAAGATGACTTGAGCCATCGGATCTTGATCATACCGTTAAAAAAATGAAAGATTTTATTAAGAAATGTGGTTGAGTCTAATTTATTCTTACGAAATTGATTTGTAGGGTGAAGATTGTCTTTCAGGTCATATATTATCTAATGTGAGATTCATAACACATTTCCTCATATTCAGGATTGAATATCTGAAGCATGAAAATAAATAATGCGTGATTCGATAGCAGAAGTCTGATAGTAGGTAATTCATCGGATTATAAGCGAAACTATTAATACCATGTTAAGATTCTTGATAGAATTTATAAAAGAAAATATAAAAAAGTGTAATAAACTTTGTATCGATCAAAATGAAAGCTTAAACCAGATTTTAATACCGGATAAAAAAATGTGGTTAAGTTTAACTCATTCTTACAAAAAGACTTGTAAGATGAGAATTGTTTTCACTTATAATCACATCTTCAGACCATATATTATCGTGAAATTTTTAATAAAATTGATTTTTTTTATATTTATTTTATAATTTTAAATATTAATGTTAAATGTCCACCAATGAAAGCTAGCTCAATTAGTAAAAAGTTGACTCCGTTTTATCCGCAATGTGAGAATATCTCTAATAAATATTAGTTTGATATATGTTTTAATCTCTTAATTTAATTTAATATTCTATTTTAGTCTTTTAACTAAAAAACGTTACAAGTTAGTCTCTTAATTTCACTTATGTTATTCTATTTGGTCACTTCTATCAATTTTTGGCAAAAAAAAAAAAACGTTAAGTTCGGATGACGTGGCATGATCATTGGTACAAATCTGAGTTATCTTATATAGTTAAGAACGGATACACCATTTAAACTACGGGTTCCCCCGAAAACAAAACCCTTACGATTTAAATAATGTATCAGTTTTTAATTACATATATTGAATCAGATTTGTACCAATTATCACGCCACGTCACCAGAACTTATGTTTTTTGGTCACAAATTAACAGAAGAGACCAAATAGGGCAATGAAAATGAAGTTAAGAAACTAACTTATAATATTTTTTAGTTACAGAACTAAAACGGAACATTAAATTAAGTTAAAGAATTTGATGACTAATTATGCCACAAATATTCTATAAATATTTTTATAAATATTTTGAGTTATAAAATTTCAAATTAATGAGAGTATAAATATTCTCTCCCTAAAAAAAAAATGTTTCTAAGTAAATTCAATTAAAAAACCTACCATCTACATAGAGAAATAGTTAACTATTCTATCAGTCTCATAAAAAATATCTCATTTATATTTTTTAAAATACCAACACAACATTTTTTTCCCACTAGTATACCCTTATTTATTAACTTTCACATTTTTCAACTAATTCATCAACTATAATAAATAAAAGTATTTTTGTAAAAAATACTATTAATTTTATTAATAAAAATAATACATCTAGATATAAAATATTTATTATAATACGAGTATTAGTATTGTGATATAGTATAATTTAAAACACTTTATTATAACCTATTTTTGTCATTTTAAATTTATTTTACATTTTAGAATTTTGATGTCAATTATTTTTGAGACATTGATCCCAATAACAAATAATGTGATGTTTCAACATTTTTGTGTTCATGTGGCACAATATATCAGTTTGGCATTCCTCCTATGTATGTCATCACGTGCGCACCACCGTAGTTCCTTTTCGGTTCTCCTCGTCCTTTTCCAAATTGAAAGGTAATCTTCAACCTTATTATTCTTTCATCCATTCATATTCTTTCTCGCTACAGAAATCATTATATTTGAAGAATGTTATAATTTTACACTCTTTTCAATACATACAAATTTGTGTTTCATGAGATTTGCATAGAAATTACAATTATAGAAAGTGCATCATATAATTAGGGACAAAATGAGGATTATACGTTGTTTGTTTCTTGTGATGGTTCATTGATTTTATGGTGTTTTGGTTGATTAGTGATTGAGCTTCAATGGTAGTTGAGGCTTCGGTTCCTTTGCTTGAGAATGATATGCAAGTTGTGAATGAAGATTATTCGGGTTCACTTGGTAATGAACAGAAAGAGAAGGAGAATCATAAAGTCTTTTGCTCCTCCAAGGTTAACTTGCAGACCAGGGAACTTTGGACTGATGGACTTCTTTGTGCTTTCGAGTTTATCCAGGGCTCGCGAAAGACTCATTCCTCAGCAGCAGTTAGGGAGGTGGCCAAGAAAAAAGATTTTCAAGGCAATCAAGTTAATACATTGAAAAAAAGTTCTGGTGGAAACAGCTTTCACGAATCATGTTTTCCGGTAGAGGAATCGTCTGGAGGATTGGATTGTGATGAATTCTATAAAAATGACTGTTTTGGTAAAGAGGGTCTTTCGAGAAGTTACTGGAAACCAATTGGTTGGGCTAGAGTTTCTGAACTTGTCCATGCTGTGCATAGTGATGCTAGCTGGGCACCACAGATGCGTGATTTCACCGATGATGAAAGTGATGTTCCTGTTGCGGATGTAGCAACGCCTTATTGGGAAAGGCCCGTGGGTCCAATCTGGTGGTGTCATTTGGATGCTGCTCATCAATATGTTACTACATGGCTTGCTAGTTCTCAGTGGTTACATCCTGCTATTAGCATTGCCTTGCACGATGAAAGCAGGTTAATAAGCGATCGAATGAAACACCTTCTGTATGAGGTAAATTAACTAGTTATATAAATATTACAGTGAAATTTGCTAATTTTTTTCATACAAGAGAATTTCAATTCAACTGCCGATTATCGTTTTGATAGGTTCCTGTTCGAGTCGCTGGTGGGTTACTATTTGAACTTCTAGGGCAGTCTGCAGGTAATCCATTTGCTGAGGAAGATGACATTCCCATTGTATTACGAGCGTGGCAAGCACAGAACTTTCTGGTCACAGCTTTGCATGTTAAGGGCTCTGCGTCAAACATCAATGTGTTAGGTATTTTAGAAGTTCAGGTTAGTTATCCCCTCCAACTTACTCAGGGTTCGAGACATTTATTTTGCCGAAAGCATGATTCTTTATTTATATCCTTAGTTACCTTCAATTGTGTTTCGCAGGAACTTCTGGCCGGTGGAGGAGCTAACATTCCACGAAGCATTCACGAAGTTGTAGCACACCTAGCTTGTCGTCTTGCAAGATGGGATGATAGGTAAACATTCTACTGTGATCTTAAATCATACTTGGCATGGAATTTGGACCACTTTTTGAGTCGCACTTTCATTTTTTATTTGCTACTAATGTATATAACATCACAGGCTGTTTCGTAAACACGTCTTTGGGGCTGCTGATGAAGTTGAATTGATGTTTATGAACAGGTGATTGAATTCGATTTGGACCATTAAACACAATAACTTGAGTGTAACATAGGTGTTCATTTCATCATTTGATCCCTTTTTGTTTATAACTTGGACATACAATGTTCTTTTCCATCTTTGTTAGGAGAAACCAAAGGATTTGCATCTGTTCACTATAATATTGAACCAGGAAATTAGACGATTATCAACCCAGGTAAATTTCCACACCACGGAATGACTAATACTGTACTCGTCGAGAATCTTACAAAAAAATTTCATGCACGAGAGGAAATCGTTGTTTTTTTTCACATGTTCTTTTATCTTTTGAATGACCTAGTAGGTTATAAGAGTGAAATGGTCGCTCCATGCACGAGAGGAAATTGTGTTTGAACTTCTTCAACAGTTGAAAGGAAATGTAACAAGATCATTGCTGGCAGGAGTAATGAAGAGTACAAGGCAAATGATTGAGGAGCAGGAAGCAGTTAGAGGTCGTCTCTTCACAATCCAAGACGTAATGCAAAGCGCAGTCCGTGCATGGTTGCAGGTTTTATAATCTCTACCGATAATTTCCATTCCATCTTTGGACATAGATTGGTCTTGGCTTGGACTCACACTCTTGCTTCTTAATTTAGGACAAAAGCCTCACGGTTACACATAACTTGGGAGTGTTTGGTGGCTGTGGTCTTGTCCTTTCCATCATCACTGGACTATTTGGCATAAATGTCGATGGAATACCGGGATCTGTAGCAACTCCGTACGCGTTTGTTCTTTTCTCCGTAGTGTTATTTGTGTTGGGAGCAGTTCTAATTGGAATTGGACTGCTTTATCTTGGGCTGAAAAAACCCATCATGGAAGAAAATGTTACAGTGAGAAAACTCGAGCTTCAAGAGCTGGTTAGGATGTTCCAACACGAAGCGGAAACTCACGCGCAAGTAAGGAAAACTGTGCCGCACAAGGATGTTCCTCAAACTGCAGCTGTTAGGCCACCAAATGGTGTGAATCGTCGCTTCATGATTTCAAAATTGTTCAATCCTTAGATGTTAGTAGTGCAGTTGTTTGGTTCTACTTCCGAATTTTGGTCTATTGTTTTAACAAGTGATTAGATGTTTTCCAAAGGGAAAATTCTAAGTGGACCATTTTGGTAGGTGTACCAATACTTTCTCAAGTAAATTAAATGAGTGTCTCTAAATTCAACTCATATTTATTTTCTTTTATTTCAGTCGAATCGACACGGATCATGCTACTATTTCACTCATGAGCATAAGAATGAGCATGAAGTTCTATTTTTGAAATAAAACAACATTACTTAACTAGTACTCTTAGAACATGTGTTGGCATTGTCATTTCTAATATCTAACAATTTTATCTACTTTGACTTGTTTCTTAAAGGGGCAATTTTGTTGAGGTTACGGCATCAAATTAAAATTATTAATTCCCATTGACTTCAATTTTCCCCTAATCAGAAATAAACTTGTCGGTTAAAGACATCAAACATTAAAATTGAAACTCTGTTAATATATCTTATATTAGTGTATATATACATATACTACAAACACTTAACCACCTTTCCTCTAGTTTGACTTGTAGTTGAAGGAAACTATGGTACAACACCTTGCTACCATTTGTCTCCATTTCACATCTAACCAATGCACAATGCAAGAGCCTCTCCTGGAAACACATTCACCAAGTATAACATTACTCAAGCAACAATCTTTCAATGATCTTGCTCCATCCCCATCATTTCATCAATCATCTTCTAATATCATCAATGAAGCCAGACACCCTTCTTTTATTAACCTCATAGCCAACTTGAGCATCGCGAAAACGAAGATCATTCACCGCTCTCGTTCTGCTCCGTCGATTTTATTCACTGACAAGAAGGTAGATTTTCACGAGCCCTTTGAAAACAGACCTGCGTATAAGTCGTCGACTTTACTCGTGTGGCTGTGTTTAGTTATCGTTTTATTGTATTTGGCTGTTGGTGTAACGGTGTACATGATAAGCGGGAGTTTCAAGGGAACTACTACATTTAGGCCTGTAGATGCTGTGTATTTTACAGTGGTAACTCTGTCCACTATTGGATACGGAGATATTGTTCCAGATACCATATTTACGAAGATGTTTACATGTGGTTTCATTTTGGTTGGTTTTGGATTCATCGGTTTTATGCTTAATGAGTTAGTTGTGTACATTTGTGATACACACGAGGCGTTCTTATTGAGCATGATGGATGAGAATAGATACAAGAAAATTCTGACGACTTACATGGTTGATGAAGAGAAAGGAAGAATGAGGATAAGAACCAAAGTTTGTGTTGCTTCGATTGTTGTTATCGTCTGCATTGCTATTGGAACGATTACAGCGCACTTTGTAGAGGATCTGAATTGGGCTGACAGTTTTTATCTTTCAATTACTTCTGTCACAACGGTTGGTTATGGAGATTTTTCTTTCAAAACTTTAGCTGGAAGATGTTTCGCGATTCTGTGGCTTTTGGTAAGCACGTTGGCAGTTGCGAGGGCGTTTTTGTACCTTGCTGATTATAGTCTGCAAAAGAGAAGCCGCGACATGGCGAAAAGGGTTCTTCAGAAGAAGATAACTTTGTCGGATTTAGCAGCTGCAGATCTTGATAATGATGGATCAATCAGGTACGCCTCAATGTTGTTAACATTATATAACATGAACATATTTCGTGTAGCTGAAATTTGTTCATATTTTTCGAGTTTTATCACATATACCTGCTTCTTTTTTGCTAACCTTTTACTTTTATGCAGTAAATCAGACTTTGTCATATACAAGCTTAAGCAAATGGGGAAGATTACTGAGATAGACATTCTACAAATCAGCAAACAATTTGATTCCTTGGACCATGGCATATACGGCAAGATCACCCTAGCTGATCTCATGGAAACTGTGTAATTCAACTGTCTCTTCTGAAAGAGTAGACCAGTGCAAGAGACCGGTTATACTCAGGACATCGGACATATTTGCTAACTTGTCACATGTGTGGCGAAACAGATTCAGGCTTTCAGCAACTAAAACCTGTGATCACATCAACAAGTCATAAAGCTAACCATAATGTTGAATCATCTTTTATTCTTTTGAAAGCCAAAGGGAAGTATCCTACGCGGAAACTAAAGTCAAGCCTCTTCAATTAATAACTTATTCAAACAATGTATGATTATTTCCTGATCATTTACTGTCATCTGCAAACAATGTATGATTATTCAAACATGGATGTTTAATGAATGGACACACTAGTTTCACTTTCCAAATACTTGAAAACTGAAAAGGCATGATTCTATTTGTTTGCTGAGGTGATTTCATACTTATATGTAATTAAGTGCACAATATTCATATTCTTGCGGTAATTTTCTGAATAAATTTTGAATAAGTTTCACATATATTAAATTATCTCAGACTAATTTTCTATCCACATGAATGACTCATCTTATGATGGCCACAATACCATATCTAGAGTTGTCTCAAACTTCGGAGAGACCATGTGTAAAAAGCTGAAGTTAGCTTCAGTTGAGTCGTGGAGTATGTCTATGGAGAGACCCTTTTTGTCATTGCTTAATCATGAAAAAGTGCGAGACCTCGTGTTGTAGGCCGCCTTGCACACCCTCAAAGGCGACCCTGACTATATCTTGGACGTTGTGGATCTGTCAAAAGGTGAATTTGTGAGGGTAACACAGCCCATAATCTAGGATTTTACAAGTGCTAAGTCTAATACTTGGGGCTATCTCTGCCCTGGCTGCTATAAAAACCATATTTCCGGAAACACAGACAAACCGGCCCCGGGCATGCAGCAGTGTTAAATTCTCTTTAGGGAGAGCTTTGTCATCCATTGAGGTCCAACCCGGCTCGAGGGATTAGTCTCTGCATTTGCGCGTAGAGGATACCCGGTTTTTACCAACAAAAAAACAGACAAACAACATGGATTATCCAGAAGCATGCATCCAGACATACAAAATTTGATAGTATGTCTAGATACACATATCCGAACTGATTTTTGGGGATGGGGAAATTAGCCTTCAATATTTTTATATATAGCTTTGATACTTACAACTTTTTAGGTAACTGAGTTAACAACAATCCAATCATTTTATTCATAAGAAACCCGAAATAACATGCCTTATTCTACATACACAGAATTGATGCACATGACATCTCAAATTCAAGAGCTCTATGAAAGTGCTGTCAGAATCCATGCAACAGTTCACAATATTGTTACAATTCACTGATAGTGATATATTAAGGTATTCTAGTAACAATATGAATACATTTCCATTTCATTCTATGAAGGCATATTTTTGGTAACCAGTCTAGAAAAATTAACTTGGAACAATCGTAGTAATCGATTATTTGTTGATCCTGTATGACCAAACAGATGATTGCACGTTTAAAAGACTAGGCCACTAAATGTGTCTTTCATGTTCCCACAAAGTTGTTTCGTGCAACGAGAAAATTGTGGCAGATTATTTTATGACTCAAGTTAGTTTTCACCTGGCAGCAGAAGCTTCGTCGAGTAAAGCAAAATTGATCAGATCCTCACTTTTGCTTCCTTGGCATTTCTGATTCTACGAGTTAGGAAATTTAAAAAAAAAAAGAAAACACCAAATCAAAATCTTCAAATGCGACAGTCTGAATTATGTTTTGATAGAACTGAAATGATGTATACCTCAGTCTAATGCCATGGATGCTCTCAAGGAGTTCCGTTGTTTGTTGCCACCTGAAATTCTTTGGTCTCTCTTCTTTATCCAATACTAAAATCGAGACATTCAAAACAGAAACTAGTTCACTTTCAATCTCACTAAGCTTTTGATCTATATGTTCAATGAAGTCCTCGTAAGAGGATATTTTCGACAAGCTGCTGGATACGCTGTTTTCATTCCCAGTATCGGTGCTAAGGGATTTAAGAAGATTATCTATCTCCTTATCGTCCAGTGGATTCTCTTGACTTTCCAAAGAAATTTTCACATCTTGGATATCATTGAACTTCATCTTACCAGAGTCAGAATCATCGTTGAGAGAATCTTCTAGAACTTCCTCCTTTGGAGCAATGATTCGAACCGGACTCGAATCATCTTGTGTTGTGTCTTCAATGTTCATCGTCACATTTCCAATTAGCTGACTTTCTTTCAAAGATATTGCCTGAAAACAAAATAAAGCAGAAAATATATACTTCAGTAACTGTATAAAAACATGCGTGCGCACAATCATGATAATCTGATAGTATTTGTTGATGAGTTTGCTTTACCTCACTTAGCTTTGCGGAAAGCTCGTCAAGCAACTCAATGCGGATTTTAGATTTTTCCAAAGCCTGCAACACTTGTTTCCTCTGAAGAAGCGTGTCCCTTGCATAATCTTCATCCCCCTTCTGGATACTTATAGCTGCTTGTTTTTGAAGCTTCTCAGCTGATTCTGATAATCTTAATAGCCTCAATCTAGCACTATTTGCTGTATTTAACCACCACACATAAGTTTTCATATCTTTTAACAAACCTTTTAGCCTAATTTCGGACATGCTAAGGTTTTAAAAAATGTCCGTTACCACGAAACGGCCAAGACAAAACGGTATCAGAAGGTGTCGATACTGATACCGATACCATTTTTCACCCTACCATGATAAAGAACAAACTGTGGTTAATTCACCCCGTGACGACTGCAATCAGTGTCCCAACGCCAGTACCAAACGGAATCGCGAAAGCCTAATGTGACTGCGACCGCTATTTAAAACCTTCGCACTCTAGCAAAGGCTAGCAACCACAAAGAATGCAGCAACAACAACAGCAAAGAATGCAGCTCTTAGAATCCATTTGAAATTTGCTTTTCATTATTTCTTGAATTCATTTGTCCTTATGAACCTTTATAAATTCATATTCACATGGAAAGTGCAATTTTATCCATATAATCTTGAGAGGCATATTGGTAAAAAGTCTATCTAACTACATACCTATACCTATACCTCCTGTCGTCTCTAAAAAAGACGTTTCAGTGTACATGTCATTGTCAGTGTGTCTGACACCGACACCGACACAGTTCAATTTGTTCATTTTTTAAAATTATTATTGGTGTCGATGCTTCAGTGTTAGTTTCATGTCCTGTGTTCGAGTCTGTGTTTCTCCTTCATAGCTACATACTTTTTAAACTACAATTCAGTCTTTAAGTTGGTGTGAACTAGAGTGAAAAGGCAAAATCAAAGCGTTTACACAATCCATTAATTCATGGGCGTTTTGAGAGAGAAACTAATTTACAAAAGAAATTAAGCATGAATGAAAACGAGGATAAAAGAATTGAAGTAGAGGAGAGAGAGAAGGGTACCTTTGGTTCTTGTGGTGTGTGCTTCCGCATGAAGTTGATCAAGTTGAGAACGGAGGTCTTCTGTGTTGATGGTGGTTGAAGAAACACACAAGCATATAGGTTTTCTTCTCGTTGTTGTCAACATCAACGAAGGAACAGCCATGGTTGTGGCTGTTACTCCAACAAGGTTCAATTTCATCCTCTTCACAACTTGTCTTGTTTCGGAACCTAGATAACAGATAATTAACCTCGTAACTTTTTTCTGTCTTTACTGTTATCATGTTTGTGTTTATATTTTGTTGATAAATTTTAAAGAAAATACTAGTAAAACTTGTATTTTGTTGAAGTCCCACATCGACATGTTAAAGTAGAAAGATTATGGAGAGATTTTATAAATATATTGCATAAGTTTGTGGAAAAAATTAAAAGGGTCAGTTGGCTAATTATGCCACTCTCATCTGTAATTGGTGAGTGCTGTATGGCAATCAAGACATATGGCTGACATTATTTTTGGGGATTATAGGGTTGGCTCGCTTAGCCGATCCTCCATGATTACTTCAAATTTTATTTATTTAATTAAAATTAAGATATTTGAATTCTAATGAAAGTTAATTTTGGATAAAATGCTACTCATAAAAAAATAAAGAGATTTTTTTTGCCAATATATTTTTGTTGCACCATTTGAAATTTTAAAAATATTTATTGATTTCGGAGATATATTTTCGTATCAAAATTTAAGTGAACATTAAAATATTACGGAGATGTATCTGAACAATTTTTCTTTTAGTATCCAATCTTATTATAATAAAAACAAGTGCCCTAGGCTTTAAAGCTTACTATGCCTCCGGTAGGCTTTAATGCAATAAAAACAAGTGCCCTAGGCTTTAATTGCAATAAAAACAAGTGTCCTAGGCTTTAAAGCTTACTATACCTCCGGTAGGCTTTAAAGCAAATGCAATATGTTTGGGTTTGACAATTTTCTTACTTTTTCATTTATCACCATGAAATCTTTTTACAACAATGCCACTTTTTAAAATAGTAAGTACTAAAATGTCACATAATGAAAAAATATCAAAATGTCACTATTTTAATATGGGTTCGGCCAATTAAAGGACAAACTATTGAAATATTTTTTAACCATGCATGAGCTCGACCAATGATTAGCCAAACCATTGAATCATAAAAAAAAAGTTATTCAATGGTTCGGTCAACCATTGGCCGAGCCCGTGCATGGCTAGAAAATACTTCAATGGTTTGTCCTTTCATTGACCGAACTCATACTAAAATAGTGGCATTTTGGTATTTTTTTTTCAATATGTGGCATTTCAGTACTTACTATTTCAAAGAGTGACATTGTTGTAAAAAAATCACCACCCTGCTTGGTGGACCTTTTGTTTTGTTTCTTTTCATTACTGATCATCAAAATAGACTTCTCTTTTGACTTCAGATGTGCTCAGCAATTCTTAACATGCCTAGCAGTTTTAAAAGACTTACAACTCAATAACATCAGTCCAATTCAAGCATCAAGGTGATGAATGAATGACACACAAGCAGTCTACCTCAATGTATCAAAAGTTACATGAGTGACACAAAATGCATCAGCACACTAAAAGAAAACTTAAACCCTAAAGCCTTATTTGCACACATGGTTTCTTTTTCAATTAATTCCACACACATTTCAGGTTTAGCAAGTATCTTTATATAGTCTCGTGCAATATGAGTTTGGACTCTTCAATCATATCCATTTAGTCAGTTTTAAACCCTCTACAAAATCTTCTCCACAATAACAGGCTAAGTTTCCTAAAAAGTCTCATTCTTCAAATTTTACAATTTGTGCACAGCTGAAGATACAGAAACTTGTTCCTGATTAAACCTTCTTGACCTGCAAAAATTACTGAGTTATATTCTAAAAGAAGTATCACAAAATTAAAACAAATCAATCAAGAATTAAAACTGTCAAAACAGATGTTTTGGTATAACATGTTACAACATCTGTTAGGACATCTTCTCTCAAGGTGAGTTGATCAACATGTTACAACATTACACACAATATCCTGTTGTGAACCATATTTTAGCAAAATTATTGTTAATCCTTAAACCATGGAACCTTTAGCGTCCTGAGCAAACCAAGTTTTTTATGTTACTAATCCTTCTAACACAAGATGATTAATTGTTCTACAAGGAAAACATATTTTTGATAGTGATGAAAATCAAGATTTAAATCTTGAGACAGCTTCTTTTGCAACACTTGTACGTCTCTCATCTGAAGAAAAAATGATTATGACGATGTGCATGCTATTCGTCATGATCATCAAGAGGGGAAATGAGAAAACTATTAAATAAAAGTTTTATATCACTTAGTAATATATATATATATATATATATATATATATATATATATATATATATATATATATATATATATATATATATATATATATATATATATATATATATATATATATATATATATATATATATATATATATATATATATATATATATATATATATATATATATATATATATATATATATATATTCATTTTACTTTTTTATTCTTTTTACTAATATTTATTTTTTCAAACATGTAGAGATGTCGAAGGATACCTATGTTGCATGATTTTAGAAGTAAAAGTCAGAAAGTTTAAAACCCCTAAAGTAAGTGTTATATGATGCATGTTGTTAATATTGAAGTTTGAAGTTTTTGTTGAATATTGAATTTTGAATGTTATTGATGCTATTGTTGTTGTTGAGATAATTGGTTTAAAGATATAATATTGTTGTTGTTGATTATCCTCATTGGTTTCAAATCTTGTTCAAATGATAGGTGCTCAACGACTGGTTACAAATCACAGAAGAGAAATTTTGGATGACCTACAAGAATTTGCATTTTGGTTATTATTTTTGTTGGTTAATCGTTTGTTTTAGTTTTGTTGTAATATTACAAGGTGTGTTCCACTTTGTCTTTACAAATTGTGTAAACAATGAATATTATACAATATTTCTGTTTGAGATTTTCTATTTATGAAATGGGCAAAAGGTACAATATTTCTGTTTTAGAAATAGGCAAAAAAAATGGTTTTATAATACAAGTTAAAACAAAATTATAGAAAATAATAATACTGCTATATTACCTCTGGTTAACATTATAAACCGATGTAATAATACTACTCTATTACCTAATTTTTTCCTTATAATCGAAATAAAATGTGAGGCACAGTATCCAGCTCTAGAAATAATAAAAATGCAGTTGATATAGATCAAACTCATGACCATTAAGTCTTTACTCTCAGTGGATCCTCAACCGAAGTAAAAAATGGTGTACATTTCATGTCGCTCTTTGTTACCTCGCATCCGAAATCAAGATTAACCCTATTTTTAACCGAGGTAAAATGAGTTTTTTGTTATAGTGAAATAATACAAGAATTTGTCTAATTTGTGAAAAATAATACAAAGTATCAAATCGAATGTTAATTATGAAATATAATTAAATTGAGATTTCGTTTAAATTTATTATTACACTAATAAAGATATAATAAAATTTACAACAAAAAATAATGCAAAACATATTAACAAATGAGACGTCATCATGACCTTTAATTTAATTCATTACTTGTACTCAAAGAACGAAATTCCCTCAACAATCATTTTTAATGTTAGAACACTGAAAGAGTCCTTCATGCTCAACTTGGTTTTAAGATCAACACAAATTATTAGAAACAATATATCATCATCTCTTAGGTTGTTTTCATCTACCAATGCTCAAACTTTCATTCAATATCTTCATATTTTTTTCTCAAATCCAAAATTTCTCCATACACAATCACACAAAACTCTCTAAAATGTGATAGATTAACAATATCAATCAATCCCAAAATTATGCTCATATGTTTAGATGGTATTTTAAAGTTATACCTTGGCTCAGTAAATTTTTGTTTTATACTAGCCAATTCCTTCAAATTAATCTTTGCTTGTCCCATGTAGAACTGCTCATGGAACAAACGTTCTAATTGGGTCCAATTATGAATCGAATTTGGAGGTAGGATTGTGAACCAAGTGAAAGTGTTCTTTGTAAGAGAACTTGGGAATTTTTTTACCCTAAGGTTATCATCATTCGAAATTTCTTTGGCTTCTATCAAATACCTAGCCACATGTTCGACAGTGGACTTAGTAGTGTCCCCGAAAAACTTAGCAAACTTAGGAACCTTTGTTCTTGGGGGTAAATCTGGCTGAAGGATATATTCAGATAATGGTGATGTATAATTTGACCGTCGAAGACCAACATTTACTCTGTTACGTGTCATGATTCTTTCGACCATGGCAGCCAAATTATTATCTGCTACTACGTTGTTAAGTCAGACTTGTTGTACAATGTTTTCAGCATTCTGGTTCATATTTACCAAAACTACCATTGATTATTCTTCTCTAGGAATTTGTAGTTGATTCCTAGGGGGTTCGACTCTAGGTCGTTCGATCATTACCTAATTGTCTTGATTTGCCTAGGGTATATTTCTTGGATTTTGTTGAATTTGGTTAATGGTGGTATCTTCATCGAAAACTACCCCTTGGTTTTCTATCATATACTCCCTTGGTGGTTGTCGAGGGGGATTTGGTAACCAAAGAATTCTACAAGGCGCTTCATTTGCATTGCTAATTGTTGATTAGTTTGGATAGTATTCTGAATAAGAGGCTGGAAGATTTCCCCCATAGTTTGAGACATCATTTGGAACATTTGAAGGTTACTTTCGTCTACCTGTTGTCTTAAGTATGATGCAGAACTGGTTGTCAAGTTTAGCATTTGGACGAAATACCCTAATCTTAAAGTTTGACTATTTCGACCCATATTTACCCTAGAGCCTGATCCTTATAATGACGAAGTCATTACGGGTTCTGTATATAATGGAGGTGTATTTTGTAAGTTTTTCATCATCGAAGTTGACATTCCATAGGGTGGGTCTCGAGGCAGGGATATTGCAAATCCAGGAGGAGGGACACTTCTGAAGGCTGAAGCCCTTATTGGTGGTGGAGTCTGTGGAGGACCCCTTGGCCCAATATAAGTCAGAATGAGTTGTGCATGAGCAATCAAATGTGTAGGTATTGAACTCCCCATAGATGGTATTGCTTCAGAGACAGGCGTTGATACCGTTGGTCCTCCTGTCGGAGATCCTATGGGTGGTTTTACATTGTTAATAGGCGTATCCTGAGGAATATTTGGCTGGTTAGAGTTTGCCGACATTCTCCTCCTTATCTTCTCCTTGTTCTATCTTCGTTAGCAGTGACTATTTTACCACTTCTTAATAACATGCAACGAAGTTTTCAAAGAGAAAGTTGATCGCATAACTAATGAATTTCCAAAATTTCGAAGAAAAAATTATTATCACTTAGCACTGTCCCACTGGGCGTGCCGATTTATTCGCCGTGAAAATTGCTGAATAACCATTGGTCTTCCAAATCGAAAAAGATTTGTTTTACTCGCAGGATCGATCATACAAATCTTAAGACACGTGCTAATTGATCTTAAACAAAGTTTGGAAAAATAATGAACATTTCGATAAAGTTCATGATAAAAATAACTTATTTAAAAAATAGAACTGAACACAAGAGATTAAATTCGAAAGACTGGTAAAAAAACATAGAAAGTAACTTGCGCAAGGAAAAGATAAATTCTTAACAAAATGTCTTATTGAGTTGCATTGAAATGTCAAAATGGTGTTGTATCAACGTAAATTCTCACGAACTCGTTTCTCTACACGCGGGGTACTTTGAGTATTTAAACTAAGACTTGCTAATCGAAAATAATTGTCATCAACGTCTAGCAAACTAAATCAAGACAAGTGGCGTTCTGCATGTCTTCGACTCTTGGAAACACTCCACATGTCTTCTTTGAGAAATGGATAAGAACGAACATTCCATCCTTTATTTGAATTCAAATCTTCATGTTGAAATGCCTTCAGTAGCACCTCTGTCGAATCACATTTCCTAATTGTTAGGAAATATTTCTAAGTCCATAAAATAGTTCCTCCTTGCAAAGGGACGCCTTCGACTCACACTCCACAAATATAGTTCTGGTCGAAGTTTTCCAATTTCTTCAGAAACTCGATTACTTCCTTTTAATCAAATTCAGGCGTCGAAATTTAGAGCTAACAACAAAGATGATTAATTATTCTACAAGGAAAATATATTTTTAATAGTGATGAAAATCAAGATTTAAATCTTGAGACCTATTCTTTCGTAACACTTGTGCATATCTCATCTGAAGAAAATGATTCAGACGATGTGCATGTTATTCATCATGATCATCAAGAGGGGATATGAGAAAACTACTAAATAAAAGTTTTATATTCACTTAGTAATATATATTTACTCTTTTTACTAATATTTATTTTTTCCAACATGTAGAGATGTCGAAGGATACCCTATGTTGCATGATTTTAGAAGTAAAAGTCATAAAGTTTAAAACCCCTATAGTAAGTGTTATATGATGCATGCTGTTGATATTGAAGTTTGAAGTTTTTGTTAAATATTGAATTTTGAATGTTATTGTTGTTGTTGTTGAGATAATTTGTTTAAAGATATAATTTTGTTGTTGCGGATTATTTTAATTGGTTTCAAATCTTGTTCAAATGATAGGTTCTCAACGACTGATTACAAATCACAGAAGATAAATTTTGGATGACCTACAAGAATTTGCATTTTGGTTATTATTTTTGTTGGTTAATAGTTTGTTTTAGTTTTGCTGTAACATTATAAGGTGTGTTCCATTTTGGCTTTGCGTTTAGTGTAAACAATGAATATTATACAATATTTTTATTTGAGAATTTCTATTTGTGAAATGGGCAAAAGGTACAATATTTTTGTTTTAGAAATAGGCACACAAAAAAAGGGTTCTGCAATACAAGTTAAAACGAAATTATAGAAAAAATAACACTGCTATATTACCTTTATTACCTTATTTTTTTCTTATAATAAAAATAAAATATGGGGCACGACATCCAGATCTGAAAATAATAAAAATGCAGTTATTATGGATCGAACCCATGATCATTAAGTCCTTTCTCTCAGTGAATCTGAGATCGAGATAAAAAATAGTGCATATTTCATGTCGCTCTTCGTTACCTCACATCTGAAATCAAAGTTAACCCTATTTTTAACCTAAGTAAAAAGAGTTTTTTTGTTATAATGAAATAGTACAAGAATTTGTCTAATTTATAAGAAATAATACAAGGTATCAAATCCCCTGCTAATTATGAATATATAATTGAATTGAGATCCTATTTATTATTATACTAATAAAGGTATAATAAAATTAACAACAACAAAAAATACAAAACATATTAACAAATGAGACGCCATCATGACTTCTAACTTAATTCATTACTTATTCTCAAGAAATGAAATTCACTCCATAATTATTTTTTAATGTTAGAACACTCAAAGAATCCTTCATTCTCAACTTGGTTTTAAGATCAACACACATATTAGAAACAATATATCATCATCTCTTAAGTTGTTTTCATCTACCAATGCTCAAATAATAATAATAATAATAATAATAATAATAATAATAATAATAATAATAATAATAATAATAATTAATCAAATAAAAGTTTTAAGAAATTAACTCCACTAATTCAATGTTTTAAAAAGAAAAACTCCACTAGATTATTCATTTATATGAAAGTCTTCATTTTTATGTTGTTTTTTTTCTTTAATGATTTAAAAAATAAAACATGTAAGTTATAATTAATTTTAATTAGTCACGCTCTATATAGTCTTTTATAGTTATAATTAGTTTTATCGTAATTATTTCTTCTTATTATTAAGTCAATATCATTTGTAACTCACAATGACTCAATAATTAATTAATTTAAAAAATGACTTAAAGACCTAAAGATAGTCACGTCATAGCTGCACTAATCCAATAATTATAGCAAAATAGCTTAAAGACCTGAAGATAGTCATGTTCTATAACTCCACTAATCCATTAACTATAGTTATTCATAAAACTTTCCCTTTATAACACCACTAATCCACTAATCTATTAACTTATAGATAGATATTCATAAAACTTTTATGTGTAACTTTCATTGTAGATACATAACATTAATTATAAATAACTTTAGAGCTGCGCATTGAAACAATCCATTTCTTTCTTCTTCTTTTTTTCTTCTCTCCCTGCTATTTATTTCAAAAATTTATGAATTTATCTATCTTTTCAAGATAAAATATGTTATTTATTTATTTAGCCAGTTTGTAAGTGTTGATGTTTTCTACTAAATTGTTTGTAATTATATATCAATGATGTAGATAGAAGTGTATTTGTGATGTATTTATAACCCATAATACATTTTTCATTAGCATCGTTGTTAATGTTGTAAAAACTCATTGTTTTCGGTATTGTAAATGGAATACTACTAAACTTATGCCTCTAATTTTGTGTTGTTTCTCTTAGAATTCCCTACAATATTATTTTCTTTCTCTGAAATCACAAGTTGATCATCTGCATACTTCCCAAATCTCATAATGTCATAAGTCTTTTTTTTTTTTGGAATTGAAACTTGTTTGACTTTTGTCTGTGTATTGAAATGAGACACCATATGTAAATAGAATAATATATTCTTTTAAAGATATGATTGAAATTTGAAAGCAACATGAAACATGAGATGTATTGATAATAAAATACTTCAATTTTTTTTTTTTTAATTTGTATTATTAACTAAATACTCTTAAACTACTTTCTTTGAACTTTTGATTCAATCATTACCCTTGATTTTATAGTTTACTTTTCTAATTCTATAAATCTCAACATCTATTTTTAAAAATTTGATTTTTATTTTATTTTAACTTTACAATTCTACCATTTTCTTCTTCTATTAAATAATTTTATCTCTCATCTACTTCACTTATTTTTCAATTGAGAATGTGATATATAATTTATTTTATTTATTTATTAATTTCATGTAAATTTTATTTTAAGTGGTTAAACAATATTTCAAAACATAATACCGATTAGTTTATATTTTAAACAAAGCATACCAAATATAATTTATTTTTTAAATTCATTGAGAACTAATTTTTTAACTTTTAACAATTAAAATATATTTTAATAATATTATAAATTAATAAAATATAGCGGTGTATCACATGAGTAAACGACTAGTTTATAAAAAATAATACAAAGTATCAAATCGTCGGCTATTATGAATATATAATTGAATTGAGATCCTATTTATTATTATGCTAATAAAGGTATATTAAAATTAACAACAACAACAAAAATACAAAACATATTATCAAATGAGGCGTCATCATGACCTCTAACTTAATTCATTACTTATACTCAAAGAAATGAAATTTCCTCAACAATTATTTTTAGTTAGAACACTCAAAGAATCCTTCATACTCAACTTGGTTTTAAGATCAATACACATTATTAGAAACAATATATCATCATCTCTTAGGTTGTTTTCATCTAGCAATGCTCAAACTTTCGTTCAATATCTTCATATTTTTTCCTCAAATCCCAATTTTCTCCATACACAATCACACAAAACTCTCTCAAGTGTTTAGATGGATTAACAACATCAATCAATCCCAAAATTATGCTCATATGTTTAGATGGTCTTTTAAAGTTATAGCTTGGCTTAGATTCAGGTGAGATAATTTTGAAAAAAAAATTGGCTTTACACTTTAGAGTTATGCACCCTATCCTTGAATCGTTCAATTCTATTTTTAACCATTTGGTGGATGGTACAAAGATTCTAAAAACTTGACTTTTTTCTCTCTTTTCACAAGTATACGCATTTTTCTTTGATTCATTTTAGTATTATTAATTTTTTTCAATGCGCATCTTTTTTCTTGTATCTTTCAAATATATATCCAAATAAGGGTTTGTAGTGTGGCTATAATCACAAATAAGGATAAAGCCAAAGTTAGATGTTGATTAAATGATATTTTTTGAAAAGAAATTTACAAATGTTATATGAACTTTAAATGATATCTTTTACTCACATTTGAAACTCCTTTAGGTCTCTTGTATTACAATGGGAACTGTACAAAGGTTATATTTTGCATTATACATTTAAAATCCCAATAAATCCAGCATCATATAAATCTCCTCTTTTTCAGAATGTGATTTGTCGGTAGCAATAAATACATGAAGTTCTTGTCCAACTTCAATCCAACTGCATCCAGGAATCTTTTTTAGGCCTTTTTCATTCATGAAGCCCCTTATGTTTGATACTTTATCCCATTTTCCTAGAGTTGCATACACATTTGAAAGAGCTACATAATTCCCAGGATTATTTGGCTCCAGTTTCAATAACCATTTTGCTATATAATCTGCAAGTTCAGTCTCATGGTTCTGTACACAGGCATCAAGCAGAGATCCTAATATGTGTGCATCTGGAGGACTTGGCATTGTCAAGATAATCCTAAGAGCTTCGTCTAATTGGCCATCAATTGCAAGGAGTTTCACTAGGCAACCATAGTGCTCTTTACTCGGCTTCATTTGGAGTTCACACACCATGTATTTGAAAAGCTCTAGGCCCTCCTTCAGCAATCCCCCATGGCTACATGCTGACAAAGCGCTAGTAAAAGTGATGTGATCCGGGACTATACCTTCTTTCACCATTTCTTTAAAAAGAGCAAGGGCGTCTGCAGATTTACCATGTGAAGCATAAGCAGATATCATTGCATTGTAGTACACAGGCAATTCCTTTGTTGAACACATAACGAAAACACACTTTGCATGGTCCAAATTTCCACATTTAGCATACATGTCAATAATAGAGGTTGTAATTTGAAGAGTAAAAGACATGAAATTCCTCATAACATACCCATGAATTGCCTTTCCATAGTTCAATAATGCCATATCTGTGCATGCTGATAGTACGGAAGTTATGCTTATGCTATTAGGTTTCATCCCTGCATCTTGCATTTGCCGGAAAACCATATTAGCTTCGTAACAAAAACCATTTTGAGCCAAGCCAGATATCATAGTAGTCCATGTGATCAAATTAGGTGTTACACCCGATGATTGCATTTCAGAAAACATGTCTTGAGCCTCAACCGCCAGACCATTTCTAAAGAAACCAAATATCAAAGAGTTCCACGAAACAACATTTGGAGGAACACTCTCCAATTGCATTTGAAAAAACAATTTCAAAGCTTCCCCACTCAAACCATTCTCCGCAAAAGCTGCCAACATTGTATTCCACAACACAAGATCTTTCTTCGCCGCAAAACAAAATATTCTTCTCGCGCAATCCATTCTCCCGCATTTCGCATACATATCTACAATGCCACTTAACACAACCACGTCAGAGTTAAACTCATTCCTAAGGCAAAACCCATGCAACTTCTTACCCATCTCTACATCTCTAGTATCCGCGGCAACAGTCAACAAAGAAGACAGCGTGACACAATCAAACCTCAAGTTTTCCTCCTCCCTCATCCAATGACACATCTCAAGCACCTTCTCAAACATTCCAAACTGCACATAACTAGATATCATCAAATTCCAAGTCACCTCATCTTTCACAACCGTAATATTTCTAAAAACTAACTCAACCTCCTCAATTAAACCAACCTTAGAATAAAAATTCATAATAGAGCTACCTATAATGTTACCTAACTCAAATCCCATAACAAGAGCAAGAGCATGCCCTTGTTTACCTTCCTTGACAGCCTCTAAATTAGCACAAGCCGAAAAAAACCCCGACAACGTAACCTCAGTAACCTCAACACCCTGAAATCTCATCTTCTTAAATAGCCCAACAGCCTCCATATTCATTCCACTTTGAGCAAAGACCGCAATCATGGAGTTCCAAGCAATAACATTCTTCTGAGGCATATCATCAAACACCTTCCCCGCATCCTCCAAAAACCCACATTTTCCATACATATCAACAAGACTCGTTGCAACATAAACACAACCATCAAATTCCTTATTCATTTTAACGACATACCCATGAATTCCTTTCCCGAACCCACCCCATCGGAGTGCCCCACAAGCCTTCAAAGCATTGGGGACAACGAAATTATCAGCAAGAAACCCTTTCTCCATCATTTCCACATAACTCAACAAGGCTTCTTGGGAGAGTCCCATTCGGGCTTGCAGGCCTATAATTGCAGCCCAAGAGAATAGATTCTGGTTTGTAACAACGTTACGAAAGAGATGAACCGCGATATCAGCACGACCGCATTTTGCGTAGAGAATCACAAGCTTGGACTCGATGAACTCGTTTGTAGAAAAGGAAGGACCTTTTTTGATCATGTGAGCGTGGATTTGAAGACCTAAACTGAGGGCTCTTGCATAGACGCATCCTTGGAGGAGTTCACCGTAAATATCGGGTCCTATGCGGACGTGTTGTGGCAATTGGGAAAGTGAATCGACGGCTTCTTGGATTCGAACATGTTTGCAGAGGAATGAGATGTGGTTATGGAGTGAAGTGTTGTTTGTGAAGTGTTGTTGTTTTGGAGGGGAGTGGGGTAGTTTTGAATGGGTAAGAAGTTGTGGGATGGTGGTGGTGGTGGTGCGTGTGACGGGAAGACAAGCTAAGCCATGCATGGAGTCAGCGGAGATAATGGATTTGTGGTGAGATGAGGATGATGGATTTGCATGGATGGAGTTGTTCTCGATCGAAAGCGAAGAAAGTAGGGATAAGGGATCGAATAAGAATCAACAATTGAGAATTGCTTTTTCCAAGTAAGCTTGCCCCACTTATGGAAATTGGAAATGTATTTCACATTGCACTCTACTTCACAATTCACACAATTTATGTAGGAGTGACTCCACCTCCAATTTTATGTTAAAAATTAATATACAAATATATCTTTGTATGATACACCAAAATACATATTTGAATTGATTTTTAATTAAAAAATAGATTGGATTTTTCTCTTTTTTCATCTCTCTTCTACTCAAATTCTTGAATTCTCTTAAATTTCAAATACTTTAAACTCATTTCTAAATTTCTATTTTCAACATCCAATCAATCAATGAGCTCACCGATAAACTCATATTTAGTAAGTTTTTAATTTTTTTATAATTTTTTTTTATATATTTGTAGAAATTGAGCATTTGGTTGTGTAATAGGTAGTTTAGATAAGTTATTTAAGTGAACAATGAGTTTGATAGGTAGTTTAGATAAACAATATTTTTTTAGAATTGGATTTTTGCCATTTTTCGTTTTTCTGAGTTTCAGGTTAATACGAAAATGCACTTCTGTATTTGTTCAAAATTTGATTTTCTAGAAATTACGAAAATGCACTTCTGTATTTGTTCAAAATTTGATTTTCTAGAAATTCGAAAATGCATTTCTGTATAGGTTTGTCTGAATTGTTTGCCTTTATTTTCATTGTGTTTCATATGGATAGGCTTGACAAAGTGTCACATCATGCACCGGTTGTTTAACTCTGAATTAATACTACTGATAGTGAATTAATTCCTGCCTTGGTAGCCCCTAGATGTAGGTGTTGTCGTTGTCAAATTGGGTCATCATATCTTGGTGTTATTTATCATTCTGTTATGTATATTGCAATTTATTCTCTTGCTCTAAAATTTATGACTTAACAGATGTTGAAACATCTGTCATGACACTGTTATGACTTAGAGATATCAGAATACTCTTGTTTTGTCCTTGTTTAGTTAAGCAGAGATCAACGTCTCGACATCTCTTGGGACATCTGAGATCTGCATACCAGAATTTCAATTAGTATAAGAGGAGACATCCTGTTCTATTTCTGGATGAGTTCTAGGGAAGATACTTTCTGGTCTTTTAAACAAGGAAGGAGATTGTGTGATCAGACCATTCATTATTGTTGTGTTCAAGGGGATTGGAAGCTAGGAGGATAGCTTTTTGAATCCGGCTTGACAACTACTGATGGTTGACTGATACTTCTGTGTAGATTATTCCGCTACTGCTGATAATGATGTTATTGTTATGCATGGTGCATTATAAAATGTTCTAACATCTCACCTGAGAGTTATATAAAGAAGCAAGCATTAGGATATGCTTCCACTGAAGGATCTTTCTATGTTGCTTGGGAGACGGTGTCAACCAGGTACCATGAAGGATAATAGGAGGAAAAATGTTGAGTTGAGGTATTGTTTATCAAATTCATGATCTATGGATTTAGTAAACACTTCATGCCATGTTTAAGGTAGCCTATGATACTTAAGTTCTCTCTCAAGTACACTCATAAAGGTACTTTTGAATGTGTTTGATAAATAGAGTTCAGAAGAGAAGATAGTCTTCTAAGGAAGATTTATGCCTTGAAGATTTCTTTCTAGGTTGTTGCTAAGGTAAGGAGGGGTATCTTATGAAATTTTGTGACTGAAGAATACAGAATTGGGATTTAAAATAAATTACTATTTGTGGCCTTAGCAAGTAATTAATTAATTATCCTTTTCATTGGTGTTTAAGAAAGATGATGTCAAAATGTCACACCTGAAGGTGCAGCTTCAGACAGTTGCAAGAACTCAAGAACCTTTTCTATATATCTGATATGTCTTAAAGAATGGATACAATCGATATCATTTATGGAGTTCTCAATAGGTCCTTATCTTGTCCTTAAATGTAATCAAGGTATGTAACTCTTGTAATGACTTCAGAACCAATTTCAATGATCTATTCATGGGAAAAGGAACAAATGTTCAACTAGATGTTGAAACATCACTTCTGAAGAGTGTGTGCAAAATCTTGTTGATCCAAGGAGTGAACTTCTCGGACAAAGGAGGGATGTAGCATATGTTCTGGATGATAAACAAATGTGTGTTTATTAATAGTGTTGGGAATCTTCTTCAGATTGGTCTTGAAGAGTCATTTGGTTTGTAGTCTAGAAAGTCTCTATCTAAGAAACTTGTTATGGATAGGTGTGCTGATGGAAGTCAAAATTAACGCATGGTCATCTTGATGAACATTCGTTGGGTCAGTTTATTTTTGATCTAAGCGCATAGGGATGAAGAAGCTATGCTCATGTATCTCCTATAGGATTATGTGTTCTAATTCCTAGTGGAAGACTCTGAAGTCATCTCTACCAGATTCTGTGCATATGTAAGTCAGGGGAAAATGTATAGGACATTCACCCTGACATCTTGGAGACTTTTCTAGTCTTTCAAAGCTAGATCTGAGTGATTTTACAGATAGTTGTATTTATCTTGTGACTACCTCTTCTAAGGTTAGATGTGGACTCTGATCGGGTGTGGATGATTCTCTTGGATAGTCGTGCTTGAAGCAGACTACCATCATGTCTATGAACTCTTGTTCTGTTGTAGTGGAGGAGTCCTTTAATGTGAGATGATGTCTAGAAGCCTAAAAGGGATAGATCCTCAAAATTGTATTATATAAGGTGGAACTCAGTGTGGTTCATCAATTGGCTAGCCAAGTCATTGATGTCATTCAAATATCCTGACATTGTGCTGAACGTCCAAATGTTCATGCTAAAGGTAGAAAGTATGCACTGAAGCTGTCTTTTTTGTTAAAGGTTGGTCTCTTTAGGCTTATATGCTCTTCATCTGTATGGCTAGTGCTAAAGTTTATCTCAACCTTTGTGAATCGTGCAATGGCAAAAGCTCAAGGGAGTTGTTGATTGCTTGGTATATTTATATCTTCTTCTTGGAGTCTCATCTAAGTTGTTTGGTATGAGTAATCCAGATTTCTATCTGGAGTAAGAAGGTTTTAGCACTGGAAGTTCCAGCCCTGTTGTGCTTCTCTTTTGATCAAGGACCCTGTGAAAGGATTTCTTATTGGTCTCTTTGGAGGAAGATGTGTCAAATAACTGTAGTTATTTGTGAGAGTCTCAAGGAACTACATGCTCGATCTTATTGCAGAAACATTAGCCTTTGTAAATGCTAATGTACTTTATCTTGTGGAGTTATTGTGGTCTTGCAAGGTGGAGTTTTGAAGGATAGAGGACTAAAGGGATGAAGAGAAGCATACCTTGTTGAGAAGTCTTCTTATGGTATGATGATCATTCTATACCTTAGTGTTTATTGTTAGTCATACTAATATCTGTTAGATGGAATCTCCTATTTGGATGCTTAAGGATGGGTGCTGACTCTGTAATGTTAGACAGTATGTTTGAACATTGTGCTTCTGAGTTGAAGCTTCATGAGGCTTGTAAGATTTTATTTCTCTCTGTGGTATTATGGCTTCTATGATAGTCTATGAGCTACTGCAGATGTGATCTATTAGGATCCTCATGTGTTTCTTGCAAAGGGAAGTGTATGAATTATCATGCAAATAATCATTCCTATGGATGTTGACTCCATAACCAAAGTAGATCATTTCTACGATTGAGGCTGATGTCTTAACTAATGCTTGAAACATCATGGCAGTTGATTATCTCTCCAAAAAGGAAAGTTTTTTATCCATGGGAGATAATTTGGAGTTCATGGTGTGGAGTTTGTTACTCACCAGTTGGATCAAAATTGAATTATCTATTCATTGTGGAGTATGGTTAAGACTGTGTGGATTCTGATTATCTGTGAGTAGATGGTAGGTTCTACTAGAAGTATCTCTAGAAAAGATTGTATCTGATTATCTGTGAGTATATGGTAGGTTCTACTAAAAGTATCTCTAGAAAAGATTGTATCGGGTTGAATCTTGAGAAGGAAGCATGTTGAGGATGTATCCCTCTTCATATGGTTAAGGGGTTTGATGTCTTCCAAGTATGGATGATATCTTGGCTAACCAATGAGTTAAGAGAATTTATATGTCTCTTTTGGGGATATGAGCATTCCAGGTTTGATTAGATTTTTTTCTCAAAGAACAAGGTTGTCTATGGTTGTAAGGTTCAATATGGATTTGCACAGTGTGTGGATGTGTTCAGGGGGAGAGTGATCAATGGTGTTATTTGATCTCAATCCAAGAGTTTATTGGTTATGGTATAAGAATTGTGATCATAATTTTTCTCTCTCTTATAAGCATGAAGATGTTCATGTGAGATTGTGATGTCAGACTAAATGTATTAACATCTTGGTGTGTTGATACTTTAGCTTAGTAAGTTCTACTTGTGAGCTTGACTTGTTAAGGCTATTGAATTATTTCAACTATGTTCATGATTCTTAGAATAGATCTGAGAAACAGGATTGGATATTGTCTGGGAGAATTTATTTTTCTCTTCAGATTGGGATAAGGTCCATGGAAGCTTTTGTTGATAAATGGGAGATGTCACACATATTGTCTTGACATCATGGTTAGGATCTTTTAACTATGGATGAAAGAAGTATACTTGGAGTTCATTGAAAGGCATTGTGATTATGCTTCAAAATTCACAAGAGAGAGTAAACAAGGACTGACTGAGTGTCAGGACATTGTTTAAGACTCATGGCTCTATGTGGAAGGTGTTACTTGGACGGTGGAAAACGTTCCTTAAAGAAGGCGTGCAAGACATGTTTGTTCGGCATATACATAGTCTTTGGACAGTTTTCATTAAATAAGAAACAGTAAAAACTGAGTAGACCGGTGCACACTCATTTATGTTGAAGTTATCTTACTCAATTTACTCTTAAATTTAATTATCCTTCGGTTATATCAATGGCTCGTTAATTCCTAAGGAAACTGC